CCCCATTCCTCAAAACTACTGCAAAAAGATGGCACCACCAGAGCAAAGTGGACAAAATGTATGAACAGGCAACTTTCAGAGGACAGAAGCCTAAAGACCACCAGGCTCAAGAAGAATGCAGGTTTCCCTGAGTAATGCAAAATAGCACAGCAGTCAGGTATCACTTTACCCCTATCAGAGAGGCAAAAATGAAGAAGATAGACGATGCCAAGGATTGCGGGGATGTGAGGACCTGGGAGCCCTCTGTGTGTGTTTGTGTGTGTGTGTGAGTTTGGACTGTGACAACCCCTCTAGGGAGCAGTCTGTCACCACTAGTTGCCACAGATAGGTACACACCCAACCGAAAGGCCGCATCTCTCCACCAGAAGGCAAGCACAGGAATGTTCACAGAAACTTCATTCATAAAAACCTCAAACTAGAAACAACATAAAAGCCCATCCATACTAGAACAGATGAAAAAACTAAGGTATATTCACACGGTGGAGTATTACACAGCAATGAAAAAGAACCACCCACATTACCTGGCTGGTGTTGCTCAGTGGTTGGAGTGTCCACCCGAACACTGAAGTGTTGAAGGTTCCATCCTCAGCCCAGGTCAGGGTGCATGTGGGAGGAAACCAATTGTGTCTTTCTCATATCAATGTTTCTCTCTCTCTCTCTCTCTTCTCCCTCCCTTCCACTCTCTTTAAAATCAATGGAAAAAATATCCTCAGGTGAGGATTAACAACAAAAAGAACCACTCACATCTATAATTTGACTATATCATGAGTGAAATTGTGTGTGTCTCCTCAATTCATATGTTGAAACCCTAACCACCAGGACCTCAGAATATGACTGTATTTGGAGGTGGGATCTTCATAGAGGTGATCAAGCTAAAAATGAGGTCGTTAGAATGGGTCCTAATCCAATATGACTGGGGCCCTTGTAAAAAGGGGAAATTTGGACAGAGATGCACACACAGGAAAAATGCCACGTAAACATGTCGACGGCCATCTATAAGCCAAGGAGAGAGGCCTGGGTCACATTCTCCCTCATGGCTCTCAGAAGGAACCAGCCTTGCCAACACCTTGATTTTAGACTTCTAGCTTCTAGAACTGTGTGACAGTCCATTTCAATTGTTTAAGCCACTCAATTTGTGGTCTTTGTTAGAGCAGCTCCAGGAAACGAATGCCCCAGGTATGGCAAGTTATGTCCCATGGATCAAACCCAGCCTGTGATGGTTAAATTCTCTGTGTCCACTTGGCCAGGCCATGGTGTCCAGCTATTTGGTCCCAACACTGCTCCAGATGTCACTGTGCAGGTGTTTCATAGGTGCAACTTACATTTACAATCAGTTGACTTTAAGTGATGGAGATGGCCTTCTGTCATGTGGGTGGGCCTCACCCAATCATTCGAAAGGCTTAAGAGCAAAAACAGATTTCCTGGTGAAGAAGAAATTGTGCCTCAAGAAATGCTGCCCGAGTTTCCAGCCTGCCTGCCTGGCCTGCGGATGTCAGGCTTAAAACCATAACATCGACTCTTACTCAAATTTTCAGCATGCTGGCCTGTCCTACACATTTTGGGCTTGCCAGCCTCATCTTTATCTATTTATATCTATATTTCTATGTCTATCTCTCTGTATCTATCTATCCATCCACACGTACATCATACATATATGTACACACACATCTCTATTGGTTTGATTTCTTTGGAGAACCCTGATCGATACTCAGCCCATCACCTGCTTTTATAAATAAAATTTTATTGGCACACAGCCACACCCATTCACTATGTGTCACCTTTTCAGGCATATTAGGAACATATGCAACCTACAACACCAAAATATATTTTTCGAGGACACATGGAAATAAAACACACACACTGAACACTGAAATGCTTGTCTATAGAGTAAAGGTAATAGGAAAAAAGGATAGGAATACTTAGGTAAATAAAAGAAAAATAAGTGGTGGGTGAGAAACAGGAGAAAGAAAACCCTCAATAAGTGCCAAGGAGATCAAAGCCTGAGGGCGGGTCTCCCGCTCATGTGCTGCCCTCTACTGGCACCTGTGAGCATCGCAGCCCTTATCCCGGTTTATTTTACAGATGGTTTGCCCGTCAGAGCAGCTAAAACTCAAGCTGGTTAGTCGCTGCAGTGGCCTACTGCATGCACGCACCACAGTTTGTTTGGTTTTTAAAATTGTAATTAAATATATGTGATCTAAAATTTACCATCTTAACCATTCTTAACTCTACAATTCAGTGGCATGAAGGACATTCACACTGTTGTGCAGTCATCACCACCATCCATTTGCAGATCTTTTTATCTTTCCAAAGAGAAACTCCGTCCCCATCAAACATTAACTCCCTATCGCCCTCCCCGGCCTCTGGCACCCACCATTCCACTTTCTGTCTGAATCTGACTCCTCTAGGGACCTCACATGAGTGGGGCAGACCGTGCAGGGCCTTAGGGCTGGGGGAGGACTTGAGCTTTTATTCCAGGGAGATGGGATGGCTGTGGGCAGAGGAGGGGCAGGACCTGGCTTAGGTGGTCACAGGCACCTTCGGGCAGCTTTAAGGAGGACAGACTGCGGGTTCCTGGGTGGGAGCCAGGGACCAGGGCAGAAGGAATTGTACCAGTCCAGGCATACAACGAAGTTATCAGGTCAATTTTTCTAACTTCTGGGGGCCTCAGTGACCCCAACCCTAAAATGAGATTGCAAGGGTTTGGTGACCAGACAGTCCTATGTCTGGCACATCACGAATGCTCAGTAAGTAGCAGTTTGCCCTGAATAGCTCATTTAATCCTCCCCACAGCCCTATGAGGGAGGGATTATTATTATCCCTTTTTTAATGATGAGAAAACAAGGCATGGAGAGGAAAGGAGCCTGCCCAAGGACACAGCTTGTGAGTGGTAACATAGGGTTCTTGTTCTTAATCCCTGTGTATCTAGGAGGTTAAGATTGTAGGTGGGCAGGGCAGATGCCTCTGAGAGTAAGTGAGTGGAAGAGATGACCTAGTCTTGGAGGGCTTCCTGGAGGTGGTGACATTGGAGCTGAGACCTAAAAGGTGACCCAGGTAAATTAAGGGAGAAATAGCACCCCCGGCAGGGGAAATTGCATGGGCAAAGGACCTGAGGGAGGACCCACAGGGATGCAGGGGCACAGGTGGGTCCATCCCCAGAAATCAGGGTCATTTTTTCCCTGACCCTCCCCACCAATCGTGACCACCATATGGCTCTCCCAGCAGCGCTGTTTCCAGCCCCCCTCTCTCTCCCTTGCAGATTGGGTGGCTTTGTGCTGACCCCCTCCCCCAGCCACCTCCAGCTGGTAACAATCCCCAGAAAGGGGTCATTAAGTGGCCCAGCTGAAGCCGCCGATCACCAGCACACAGGGACTATTTTAATTTTCCACTGATTTGTCTGCGGTGGGCCCCCCAGAGCTGAGCCATGTGTGTGTGCAGAGGAACATCAAGTTCCAATGTCGTTTATGAGGAATGAGGACAGAGGAAAGGACTTGGTGGGGAGACCTCACCGAGAGACAGTGATGGGGACAACTGGCATGGTTTCTGGGGCCTCCAAATCTCCCCTGCCTGGTCCTGAAGTGGGGGATTCCTGGGGCTGTGCCAGGCCCTTGGCCCTTCACACTCAGAGCAAGCACTCCTGTCTTCAGCCTCCA